GGGGGGGGGGAGGAAGCGACGTAGATGAGAATGGAGAACTCTTTTTTGTAGTTCATAACCTCTCAGTTGAAAGGCTCGAAACTGGAGGAAAGGGATTGTGGGAGATTAGAGTAAAAAGATAAAGCAGGCGTCAGCGCGAAGGAGAGAGTCATGCTAGATTCAACGGTGATGCCGAGGATGGAGAAAAGGCAAGGGGGAGGGCGTAGAGGTACCTACTGCTCGTCAATATTGCTATGATAGGCCCTATCACCGATTTACCAGTCATAGAGATGATCCAAGCACTTTTTTTCAGGATCAGGAAGTAACTGAGCAGCCGCAGGAGTTTAACCCACTCCGCTACCGCCCTGCCAATGTCCAGCGAACGCCCACCGGTCGACGACACGCTTAAAATTCCATTCTGACTGAAGTGAAAGAATTGCTGAAAAATCGCTTGCCTGAAGATAGTTGGTTTAACACGGAAAGGTTGAGCTGAAATGGTTATTGAATAATCTGTTAGTAATAATTTGAAAATGTAAGTATTTGCCAGGACTTGATGACCTCCTTGATACATTCCGCGAACACGTGTTTTGTTTATAATAATACGATAATAAATATTGAACTTGTTCCTGTTGGTCTCTCTATACTCGAATCCGAATCCTTAAGGACAGTCTCTGAATGAGGTGAGAAGTGAAGGGAAGGCCAAGCGGCGCTGCTACCGTGAGCATGGTCCGTGGATGACTTCAAACCGAATATTGCCTTCAAGAATATGGCACATGCTGCAGAATGTTTGATGAGCAGTCGTTTCTCATCCTTTCGATCCGCTTGACACTAGTCTTCCGCACCCCCACTCCTTCAAGCAATGAGGAATATTCTTTCTTTCGAGAAAAAAATAGTCAGAATTGTCATTCGGCATGGGAGATGTGCCCGAACATATCAGATTTTTTGAACAATGTTGAAGACAAATTGTACATCACCTCCAAGGAAGGTCCTTGCAGTGTGCTGGGTGATTGAGTGTACTGCTGCAGTAGCACGTTCGTTTCTCCAGACAAATGTGCAGGCAAACGGTGCTCAAGTGTGATAGTACCTGCCGTCTCCTTATTCCGCCCACGCTGCCGCACTGCCCAGCCACACGCCTAGCCATACCCAAACGCCCTACTTGTCTGCGCCCTTCTCTTCTCGTTGTTCTCCACCGCTGATTGCGCACTTCGCTGCGGGGTATCGATATCGATCGAAAAAAAACTAATCTTTGCTAACATTAGAAAAAACTCCTCTGGTGCTGGCGGAGCTTAGTGTATCACTTTGTGAGTGCTTGTATTTGACTACCTCCAATATGTGAGGGATGGGTTTGGAAAGCGGCGACGTAGAAAAAAAATATTGAAAATCGAATTTCGCAACAGTGCTTGTAACCTGTTAACAAGTGGGTGAAGTCGTCTGTGCTACACATCACCGTCTGGTTACGTGACATCTTGAAGTTTTGTATTTCCTGTTACGGAACCGTGTGAGGCAGACAGATAAAGCACAGCGGGTCAAAGCACCGAAAAGTGCAATAAACATGTAGCCAGCCAGGAAGAGGGCTTTTACAGGGGGAGGGGACTCCGGGATAGGTGAACCACTTATAGTCCGTGAAAAGTTGTGATGTGCGAAGCCCAGTTCATACAGGGTACAGCATCGTTGTGTGAAAAACATGGGGTTGGGGGTCGTACTTGACCGCTAGGGAGGGGAGGTTGTATTTGGTTGCTGTTGGGAAATGGAGGCGGTAGTATGTACCGTTATAAGGAATTAGCCATGTTGGGAACACAGTTTTTCCGTTTGCTGAGATTTTGTGATATTTGTTTGTTTCATGTGTACTATATACCCCCCCACCGCTCCCCGCTACCCTCCCACCGCCTCCCGTAATAATCGTGATGAGAAACCGAAAATGTGGGAAATTGGTAGATAGGTGTTGGGAAAGGGGAGATCCTTCCCCGAGGGGGGGGGGTTCGTACTGACACCACTACTTCACACATCATGATGCTGTTCCCTGCGTTCATATCTTCTCGTTCTTGCTCGATGATAACATAGGACTTGAACATTAAGCGGGGGGAGGTTGTTTACCAGCCGTACCATGCCTATAATGACCTAGATTGGAAGTCAGACACTGCTTGATTTACAACCATGCAAATGGTTCGCTTGTTGTTTTGAAATAATCCCACCTTGTAACAATAACTTCAGCGTTCGTTTTATGTAATCTCACCAATGAAGGGTTTTCACATGAAATTTAAATGATTCTTGCTACCGCGAGCGACATTGATTCTTCTTTCACTTCGCCTCCAGGCACGTAGACTGACTGTTAATGCTAAAAATGTATAATATACGTCTGGCGCCATACCGCTCGGCATCCTGTAGGCGTCCAAATGAAGGTTTCAACGAATTCGGTTAATCACTTATATTTTGCGATGTTAAATGTTGCGACGTTATTACTTTATTGATAAGGCTTTTGACATTGTGTCACACATGAAGCTAATCTACAAGTTTGTTAATTGAAATTCCATCTCGCTCTTGTTAAAAAATTACCAATTTTATCGGGGGTAGATCTTTTCATGTGAGATAGGGGCAGTGCTACTTTGTCAGTAAAGAAGTTCATAACGGGGTTTCCCAGGATGGAGTTTTGTCGCTGATGCTGTTCAACATCTGCCTGCATAGAATTCTAAGGTGTTTCAGGTGATAAGTTGTCCCATGAGTTCGTGCGTTTTTAGGAATTAACATGACTTTTCTGTCTGGATAACTTCTATGAAATGAATAAAAGTAGAGCACCTCACTGACCTTTGCCACAAGGCATTCATGTTTTTCTATTGTCGACTACGGCCGATTTCTCGCTAGAGATCAACCTGCTCTTCATGTCTCTCTTCTTAACGAGTACCTTCGAAGAGAGAAAAATGGCGAAGCTCACCAAAACTTATGCTCAGAGGTAGGGCCAGATGTTGCCGCACGAAGTACGGTCTCGAAGTAGTTTTGCCGAATCACCCAGAAGAATTACAGTCTCAAAAATTTTGCCGTTGTGCTCGACGGGTTTCGACGAGTGCTGTCACAATACAGTGCTCAGTGGAAGCGAAGCCCCGTCAAACCGTGCGGGAGATAGCAGAAAATGCCGGCTCTTCCGGATATGTACAAATGTATCGTCATCTATGCGAAGTGGCAAAAGCCTCTACATAAGCTATGGTCGACGCGTATCGTACGACCTCACCGCGCAGCAGCGTTCAATGACATGGAGCTGAGTCTTTTTTTTCGGAGCCGTCATTCGTCAACTACTAGGGGGAAGCGACAATGATTCGACGAACATACAAAACAAGACATAAAACGGACCGCTGAATGTGTTGCTCTCAATTTTGGTGTGAGCTATTCACCAAGAACTTCTCCAGGAGAATGCCACCATCACCGCTGAGGAGTACTGCGGCCAGCTGAGAGAGATGGTGCGAAAACATGCTGTTCACGGCCAGGAGGTGGGCGAATCCTACTGTTTCACGACGACGCGAAACCACATACGGCAGAAAGGACGCGCGTCCAAATTCATTCTTTAGGAGTTGAGACACTCCCCATCCGCCGTAATGTCCATGTCTTTGTCCTGCGGATCATCACCTTTTTCGCGCTTTAGCGAATCATCTGCAAGGACTTCGCTTCAGCAACCGTGATGACTTGATGAACAAATGGGACGATATCTTAACTCACAGCCTCGCTCCTTCTTTGAACGTGGGATCGAGTCCTTGCGTTGGCAGAAGGGGATAGATACTGATGGAGTATATATTGTTGATTGATAGTAGTAAATTGAGAAGAAATCTTAACTAAAAAGAAAAGTCTAATTTTGACGCGAACTTACAACCTGTTACTTTATGCCTTGACGGAAATGAAGGACATGTCGAACTCTATGAGATAGACCTTCTTCAAAACCTATCGATATGCTTAGTAACTGGGCAAGAAAATGGCAACTTTTACTTGCCCGCATAGATTGTGCGTGAAGACTTCTTAGAACTGCTCATCTCCTGCATGCCACGGGCGGAGTTACCCTGTAAACTTGACTGGGGAGCTTGACTCTCGCTGCTCCAATACTTCAAAGGTTTCTGAAACGCACTTCTTGGAATGTGTAAGAAGTACTCTCACCCTCCGGTAGAGACTGGGCTAGGGCTTTCTTCCCAAACGAGACAATTATGCCCTGGAAGGAAAACGAAAACAGCTTTGCCCCAGAATTTTCCTGCAGCTTAGGAAATTGGTATTCAGAAATTTTCAAGCTTCCTTCAGAAATAATCATTTCGAGCTCCCCACCCTTGAATCGTCGCATGGTAGTGGGGGCGGGTGAAAGGGATTTGAAAGACGGTTCTGAAAAAGATACCAAGCTTCTGAGATAACGGCGAGATAAGAAGCGATTGATCCCAATATAAATTTGCTTGTTGGTAAAAAGTGAAAAAAATGCCAGTCTGCCGCTTTCGCTTGGTGTCCTGGATAATAGGAGAATAGGTCGAAAAAGTGTAGGAGTCCTCAGCATATTGTGGGTAGTTGCGCTCACTTACGAACATGTAGTCGTTAAGTCACTTCCCAGGAAAAGAAAAACAAAATTTAAAAAAACAAAAACACCCTAAGTAGAGGTCCTCAACAGATTCGCTGTTCGAGGTCCCCAGACCTGCTCGTTTCATGGCAACAAAACAGTGTCTCGTCGCCTCAGACGCTCTAATGGCTTCGCTCGTTTATTCGCGTCACTTAGAGGTAAGTATATTTAGCAGCGAGAAAACGACGAAAAACACGGACTAGAGACAGAACTCACGACAGATAATAAATAGCCTTCGAATGCGTTTCGTGCAAAACAGGGGTTCAGGAAACACTATTCGACGTACTATTGCACTTATGCATTACCATCACTAGTAAATTTATTCCCTTTTACCTTGCAAAACAAGTTGCTTTTGGCTATAGGTTCTCCCAATGAAAATGTTATAAAGGAGTATGAGCACGAACACAGCTAGCAAATCGGACGTCTAGGAATAATTCCCGCCGCACCCCCAAACAAGAACTGAGAGTCCTTTGCATTAACTGCAAAGAGGATATTCGTAGTTAGGCGGTCCGACTGGGCGGGTGTCAGAACTAAAACTTTTGACAGCTGTAGCACCGTCCTCACTCACTGTGGATTCGCGAAAATGAGACAGGCTTTGAATCTGCGAACTGGGCTCGCAGAAGGAAGGACGAAATGCTCCGGCGCGCTCGATGCTTCAACCTAACTATGAGGTCTCCGTTGGGCTTCACTGAGAATTTCCTTCTCTTCGT